CCCCAAAACCCCAAAACCCCAAAACCCCGTAAGTCAATGTATTCAAAGTTATTCTGATAAAGAGTATTAATGATAAAACAACAATATTTATCTTTACTGGTATGAATTTCATACTATTATTTGTTTCAATCTAGATTAGATCTCATATTGAATCATCATCTTTTAGATCCTGGAATCCTAACTGGCATACTTTTCATTTGCCTCAAGAACTCTATTTCATCCTACAATTATCTTTCTCTTTTCTACAACTCTTCCATTTCTGTTCTCAGCAATACCTTTCTTTACTCCTCTCTTTATCTCTATTCCTCTACTTTTTCTTGTCTATACTTTTCCTTCTCTGCTCTTTCTTTCTCCTAAATTTAAATTTGATTTAGTTTTATCTAATTCAGTTCTTGATCTTTTTTCTTTCTCACTTCATTTTCTTTAAATTACTTTTCAACTTCAAAGTCATAATTATCTCTAGTTAATCTATCTTCTTCTTATTTTTTATATTCCTTTGCTTTCCTATTTTCTTCAATCATCTCTTACTATCTTCTGATAAAATCTTCTTTTTCTTTCTGCTTTCTTTCATCTTGTAACTTAGCTTCAGCCAGCATCTATTCTCTTTAGAAATTTAAATATTCTTGCTCCTCTTGCTTTTCTCTTTCTTTAAGTGCTTATTTTTCTTCTCTTTCCATTTCAAACTTCATTTTCTTTATATTAAGCTGAACCTAAGCTAAACTTAACCTTTAACTGTAAAGTTAATTCTTTTTTTCTGCACTTTACTAAAGGTTTTCAGTCTCTTACTAATGAATCAAGTTATTTAGTTCATTTTTAAAATCTTATTATGTATTTCTCTAGATATGAATGGACTATTTAGATATGTTGTGAAGACTAGATGACATTTCAGGAGATAAAAATCTTCTCATTGAGGATTTAGATTATTGATGATTGCTTGGGTTTTGACCCTAATTTAATATGTTTTAGCTTATAATGGAAGTTCTAGGTCTGTCCGGGGATCTGAAATTTGCTAGCCTCTTTACAGGAGGCTTAAGTTAATCTTCTGTATAACCTTTCACCTGCTTAATGAATCTAGTTAAAGAGATAGTATTTTAAAGGTAAGAAGCAAATATATTTAGAGTCGAGTCTTCGTTATTTATGCTGAAAGTATTTAATTGTTCTTGCTAGAATAGAATTTATTAGAAGTGTGAAATGTTAATCAAGTCACTCTCTATATAATCTCTGATCTTCTTAAAAGCAAATATTACTTTTCCTCCATTTGAAAATTACTTTTTAACTTCCTCCCATTGAGCATTCACAATAGTCTTTTTATCATTACTAAGCATAATGCTTGATTCCTATGATACTAAATAGTATAGAAATGCAATACCAATTGGAAGTTCAGGACCTTTTCCAATAAAAGATTTAAACTTCATTACATCTTTAGCCATAATCATGCTTAGAGATTACTCATATAGTGCAGATATTTAATCATATTCTTCCTGCTATTCTGGATTAAATTACTGCTTTAGCATCATGCTTTTAGTCTATTACTTTTTCTATTGAGTAGTTAGTGGTTAATTTGCTGTTCCATTGTTATTATTTTGCTAATCTTCTAACTTTTCCTCCTCATTATTGAATTACTTCAACCTTTTTTAGCTATTTTCTAGTCTTGAATTATTTATCTGTGAATTATTGAGAGACCTTTAAGCAGCTGCAATCTTACTCTCCTGATCAAGAATGAACTGGGTGATCTTAAAATTCAACTACTCGTTTATTTATGTTGCCCCAGTTGGAGTGTTATTAATAGCTCGTTTCAAATCACTCTCAAGATCTAAGGCTTTCAAATAATCAAATGATTTAGGCAAGTAAACTTCAATTTCTCTGATCAGATTCCCCAGCATATTAAGTAAGATTTAAGGAGTTTTATTGGAATTTCCAACTAAACTACCATTTGAATCTTAATCTAGAGGTTCGTTTTACTACTTTAAGTTTGATGACTAAAGTTATGTTCTTTAAATACTATCGATATCCATATTTGATCCTGCTCGAGCGTGACCTTGACTACTGCTAGGAACAATATTAGAGCGAGATTGATTCAGAGATTAATTTTTTGAAGTATTTCTAGTAATAGCTTTGTCTTTCAATGATAGTTATTGTGCCATTTACTAGTTATTAATAAAATTAGGCTTCACTTGCTAATTTTATGACTATGATGCTTAAGATTGCTAAGAAATACTTCCAGCCTTTTAACTCACCTAGTTTCTTTTATTTTTAAGTACTGGGCTCTTTAGACTTGTCATTGTGTAGTTTATCTGCATAGTTCCACTCTTTCTGTGGCCGCTGCCAAGTAAATCTGCATTAATATTTGCATTAATATTTTATAACTTACCTCTTTTTTAATTTCTGCCATTATCATTTTGAGAGGTAGCTTAGTTTACTTACTCTTTAAATTCATTTTCTTAGAATTCATTATCAATATATTCATCCTTATAAGGGGAATTTTCATCTATTGAACTTCTATAGTTGTCTGTGAATTAATTTTGCTAGAATATCTAGGCGCTTTGCATATTATTGTGGTGAGTTTTGATAGGGAAATCATCACTTGAGTCTTATTAGCTAGTCTAAGAGGAGGGATACTATCTACTTAACATATTTGAGTGTAAATCAAAAGTGAATTAATAATAAAATTTATTTCATTTTCCATTATTTCTTGCATTTTTTGCTCATGGGGTTTTGGGGTTTTGGGGTTTTGGGG